GTATAAATAAAGTTAGTTTAGTTGTCATGTTAACAATTATATCTAGTACCTGTTCTTCTGGAAGACATTTGAAAAAGTTCTGGAAAGAACTAGTTATATTTCTTCCAAATCTTGGTCCAAACACATCCTTCTCTGCTCCAAACTAGATGAAAATATTTGAAGCATTTATATCAAAAGTTAATAAATAAAACCAAAAATATATTTTAAAAGCTATATGCAGAGGAAATGACTCAACATGTTATAGCATTACTATATATGTCTGAAAAACTTAAATTAGGATCAAAATTATCTGTCAAGAAAGCAATTCGATTATTGTGAACTATAATTGATTGTGAAAAAAAAAACCCAAAATAATCGATTACTCTATACAGGCCTTGCGGTATCACATGCTTTTTATACCTCGGGCTTTATAAACCGTAGGCAAAGAAACACGAGTCAAATTGCATTACGTTGCGATGGCGACAGGAAATCGGACATATAGTCATTGGTGCGATCGCGCGTAGGCAATGATGCAAATCTGAGCAAACGTTGCCGAAAATAGAGGCAGAAATTAACCTCGTGCTCAGGTCCATTCTGTTTTCGCGCAACAAACAACGAAAAAATATTATTTTGACAAACATTTCGCCGTGATATTTCGATTTTTTTAGTGTCCCATCGGGATACGAAGCGTATGATATCTAGTATCCAAAATTGAAATCTGGTATCCCGTGGATATCGGGATCAAGGGCGGATTTTAATTTTTTTTTAAAGGAGGGGTAGAAAAATTTCTGGTGGGGTGCAAGTGGCACCACCGAGTGAGCTTCGACAGGGGTTAGGCGTTAAGGGTAAAGACTTTCACACAAAATAGGAGGGATGAAGCAAAATTTTGGTGGGGTTGAACACTTTATAAGATGGGTTAGAGAGATTCTAGGAGGGGTTTAACCCCTCCCCCCAGTAAATCCGCCCATGATTGGGATACTGCTAATCTTGAGCCCTGGCGCGCCCGTTAGAGCAAGGCTTGTCTATATACACTATATTAGAAAAGTTTCCTTTATAAATACTCACGTACAGTCCTAATTAAATACTGTTATACAAGCATCTATTTATTGCATGTGCAAGACAACTTAATTGATAAAATAATTCACTAGTATTTACCTGATGCCGGGATTGTCTGATTATCGAGTCGATCACATACAACGCCGGAATTTTATATTCGGGACGACACTAAAACAAAAATTGGAATGTCATAGCCTTGGGAGTTCGTGTCAGCGGCGGTTCTAAGTACTGTATATTGAAAAGTGATCCCCAAGTCAACTTAGAAGTTGTATTACCTTTTGAATAAACTTTTCCAAGCTCTGAACAACATGTTTGTAAAACTACAAATGACAAAACAAAGAAAATATCAATCATCATCATCATTATCAATCAATTTTATTTAAAATCAAAACACGCTAGCCTCGCACAACTAAAAGCTGATTTACAGGAGGGACGTGATATATAAAACAGTAGAATATATGGAATATTATATGAACCGAGAGCTGCGACGGTATAATGGTTAATACATTGCGCCTCATGGAGCACTGTCCAGGTTCGAGTCCTGGTTGTGGCTTGGTTTTAGGGGTTAGGTGTCAATTGGGATGAGAGTCCTGTTCCTTTCCCCTGTCACGATTTGTATCTGTCTTTATTTGTCTTTAATTAATTAGTTTGTATCGTGTATAAAGTGACAAATTCATTATATTATTATTATATTAACCCCCCCAACCTCCCCCCAACAACAAACTGAGAAAAATAAAGTCAGGTAAAGTAAATAAAGAGAGTTAACTATAATTAAGTCAACATGGTTCTAAAAGGACAGTTCCGCAATACTACGCTTAAATTGACTGAGCGAAGTCGCTTTTTTTGCATCTAATGGAAGATTATTCCACAGCACTGATGCGCTATATTTGAAGCTTCTCTTCAAAAAATTAGTTTTTGGTTTTGGAAGTGCTAGATCCGTTTCCTGATTTCGTAAATTATGGCGTCTATTAAGTTCACTAAGTCTTACAAGGCTTTCTCTTAAACATGGCGAACAATTTTCATTAAGGATTTTATACATTAGGATACTCTTCAACTTAGCCCGCCTAACATGTAGATTATCCCATCCTAAACCTTCCAAAAGATCACTTGATCTAATCCTATCATCATATCTTGCTCCAGTGATAACTCTAGCCGCACGATTTTGTAGTATTTGCAATTTATCTTTTAATATTTTATCGCATGTATCCCACAGGGGAGAGCAATAATCAAAATATGGATTGGATTAATGATTTGTACAATGTAACAAGAGAGGTCTGCGGAACGAATGGTTTAATTCTCCTCAATGCTCCTATGCCTGAACAGATCTTCTTGCTTATTTCTTCAATATTGATATCGAAAGTCAATATTGATATCGAAAGTCAATCTGTCATCAAGATCAACTCCCAAACATATATTTGAGACAACAGGTGAAATGATCATGACTTTTCGATCAAGGTATTACAGGTAGGGATGAGCCGATTAATCGGTACGGCCGATTTATATTTGGCGTTTTTAAAATAATCGGTAATCGGCTGATTATTTTTTATAATCGGCTATTTGCAGATATTCGCAATTTTTTCGTTTTTTTTTAAGATCTAGTAATCTACACTCCGTCTTGTTTTTGACACTTTTGTTGCGCGTATTTAATTCCATATCCATTAATTCATTTGACTCGTACAGTGACGGATAACTGTCCAATATGAGTAAATATTTTCCGGAACACACTAAAACTAGTACATCAATTTGTGGCGTATACACAAGTATTAAAAGTTGTCAAAAAACCGTTATCCGGCGCTTGTACCCCGGTACACAGAAATATCATGTTCAAGAGGCAAATCGTTTGTTAGCAGATTACTGTACTGCGACTAATTTAAATTTAATTATACATAACAACAATATCCTCAGTAAGTCGCTTAACAGATCCAAATTGCATCTGAATAAGTTAGGATCTTCTACTTTAGCTAAAAACTTTATTAGTTATTCACATAATTTTTAGCCTAGGTAAAGTTCCAACTCTTTACAGCAAAATTTCCGACACCGAACCAAAAGAGCCAAGTTGCTCCATTGAGAAGATTATTCCACAAACAAAGTGTGAAAATGGCATTACATTTTTACAATCTTTGAAAGGATTTAGAGTTGGGCATTTAAACATCGTGACCAAAGCCCTTTCAAACCAATGTCCTGAAAACGTTTCAACTATGTTTAAAATCTCAAATTCTGATAAATATAATTTAAGAAGTAATAACAAGATGCTGATGTTGTCGAAGCCTAAAACAAATTCAATGAAAAGGACATTCGGATATGCTGCTGCTAAAGACTGGAACTATAATAGTAAAAAATTTAAATCTACTTAATTCATTTGTAATATATATATTTAACGTATCGCTTCGACCCAAACATTTCTTAGTATCTTTTAATATTTTTATAATAGTTTATATAATAGTATTTCGAGTTTTAATTTGTATTTAATAACACGGCCTAATGAAAAACAACCTTTATAATTTTTGTAAATACTGATAGGTAATATGGTTGATTAGTTACCGTGTATAAAGATGTTGTAATAATAATAATAATTAATCGGCCGATTATTTTTTTATATCGGCTCCGATATATCGGATCGGCGAATCGGCTTTTTTCTGGTATCGGCTCATCCCCAATTACAGGTAAACTATGTGAAGCGTTCCTCTTTTGACTTCCTAACTCATTTGGAATTTTCCTTATTAGCTTTGCTAATTTGAAAGTCACTTCCAAACCCTTGAGGGAATTTGCAATGTTCCTATCGGCTGTTGCAACATTCCAATGCAATTCCCAACTTCCAGTTTTAATTTCCTGACTTCCTGTTCTGTTCTGAGCGTCGTCATTGGTGGATTATTTTTGTTAGCCAATAATAGCAACGCACAGAACAGAACAGGAAGTTAGGAACTTGAACAGGAAGTTAAGAACTTCTAACAGGAACTGAGGAAAATTTAATTGGCTTTTAGCAACATTGCAATAGCCAATTCCAGCTATCGACTATTTTTTTTATCTAGACAAGACAGGCGAATTCTATCAGTATAACTCAAAAGAGCATCCTAAAATTAGTAAAACAGGGTCCGAATTAACGCTTCGCAAATCGCAAAATGCGAAGCGATTTTGAGTATTGCGTAAAATTGCGAAGCAATTTTTTTGATATGCGTGCGTACACGCACGGAAAAATTATTTTAAATCCATTTAAAACTAAAAGTTTTTTTATGAAATAATTATAGTGTAAATGAATAAAAGGCCAGCATTTGGTTTTGTGAATTATTTAAAGCCTATTTGTTGAGGTAGTTAGTGATAGTGCTTAAATAAAATTTAGAAATATTTAAACTTTTCCGTACGTATACGTGCGAAAAACGCAGCCTTTATAGGGCCAAACAACGAAAGCGTAACGTTTTGGCATTCAGCACATGGTAACATTGCTTTGATAATTACTTGGCACGGATTGCCTAAATGTCTATACAAATGCGAGAGCATGCACATTTTAGAATTTTCAATTTCAATACCGAAGCGTTTGATTTTTAGCAGAATGTAGGGCTTTATCCAGCGTGAAATGATTGCAATCATGTTCTAAACGACTTGGCAAAATCATTGCATGCGCCGCATTCCTTTTTGTGATGCTCAAAAAAATTTCGGGGGGGGGGGCAAAATGTGTATTTAAACGTGAAATTTTTCCAAAAAAATGCGAAGCTGTTTTTTAGCGATAATTCGGACCCTGTAAAATTGCAAAGTTTGGTTGTGAAATGTTGCAAAATACGGAAAATAAAGCGCTGTGAAATTTGCAAATTTTCAGTATTTTAGTATTACGTGTGGTAAAAATAACCACTTTCGGCTCAAAAATAACAAAAAAATACTGAAAATTTGTCAATAGCTGGAAATTAAACATCTAAGTTAAATGTTTATGACCTTGAATGTCAACGACATAAACATCTAAGTTGAATGTTTATGACGTTGAATATCAACGTCATAAACACCAAAGTTGATCGTGTTTATGACGTCGATAACACCAAAGTTGATAGTGTTTATGACGTCGAATATCGACGCCATAAACACCAAAGTTGATGGTGTTTATGACGTCGAATATCGACGCCATAAACACCAAAGTTGTTCGTGTTTATGACGTCGAATATCGACGCCATAAACACCAAAGTTGATCGTGTTTATGACATAAACACCGAAGTTGATCGTGTTTATAACGTCGAATATCGACGTCCAGGGTTTATTTTACGAAAAATTTAGAACTGCACATATAGGGATGTTGCAAAACCAACAGGTGTTTGACTGGGGGTGTCAAAGGATTTTTTACCTGCATACAAGTGACAGAATAATGTGGTTGGGTGCGGGAGTAGGGGGGAGTGTTCCCCCAAATAATTTGAATCTAGAGGCTCTTAAGTTCTGGCAAAGATTTGTTTTACCCAACCACTCACAAAAACGGTTTCAAAACATGTAACTGGGAATATGGATATTCAATATATAATAACCTTTAATTTGCATTTCAGGCAGGAAAGAATATTAGGTTCTCCCACTCTAATAATCTCTTTTGGGGATCTTCGCTCGCCCCAATTTTACCTTCTTTTCCATTACCCCAGCACGTAAGTGATTTGTGAGGAAAATAGGAGGATCTGGGGGTCCTCTCCCAGAAAACGTTTATATTTTTGATGCTCATGCAATGACAGCATTTCTGGAATTTTCTGGAGCATCCACAAGGGTAACGAGTAAATGAGAAGACTGTTTTAAGGCTACTTTAATTTGTTAGTTTGGCGACTGCACATTTGTGTTTTAAGAACTGCACAAATGGGTTTAGAACTGCACATTTTGTGTAGAACTGCACGTTAAAATAAACCCTGTCGACGTCATAAACACCAAAGTTGTTCGTGTTTATGACGTCGAAACACCAAAGTTGATTGTGTTTATGACGTCGAATATCGACGTTTGTGAGTGACTCAGGATCCATTTTATTCAAAATTTTGTACATTAATTTTGCTTTAGCCTTTTCTCTTATAGACTTAAGTGGCTCCCAGCCCAAGGCCTGTTATATTATTAACCTGAATATTATTAACCTGAATATTATTAACCTGCCCTGAATATTATTAATCTGCCCTGAATATTATTAACCTGCCCGAATATTATTATTCTGTATTATCACACAGAAAGATACTGAGATAGATGCTCACACAACTGTAGTGGCATGTCGTTCAAACTGGCTCAAAAAGAAAATCGTTCTTAGCAGCTATGCAGTGAGTTTTCAAAAGAACGAGACATTGTCACAATAACGTGATTGCAAGGCTAGTATATTTTCATTGGCTACGCAGCAAGTCTTCAAAAGGACGAGACATTTTTATAAGGCCTAAAAAAATACCTGTGGTTCCGGTTCCTGACCGACCCTATTTTTTTCTGCCAACCCTATTATTTTTTCAACGCGATTGACCGTGCGATCCTATTTTCTCCGGGTGGTTGCGGGCTGCTCGTACAGCGTGCCAAAATGGAGTCTGTTGTCAAAAACCATGAAAAAAGTATTAAAAAAAACTTTATTTCCAACCTACTGACCCTAATTACTCCGCCTGCGCATGCGCAGTGCGGAGTCTAAAAATGCCAGAGTCTGTTGTCGGTTGTCGACTGTCGTCAGTGTCACAAACAGGCTCCTTGATAAATGTGTACATTCCATGATATTTAGATACTTTCTATTGACATTTGTGGATAATGTTATACGATTTGGCAGCGCAATGCGCATGCTTACAGCTCTGCTTACAGTATTTTTCTAAACTGCGAACTGCGAAACGGTCTTGTGCGATCAAAAATACTAAACGATGAAAAATACTAAAAAGATGAATGTCAAGACAAAGCTTCCAGACTCAACTGAGGTAAGGGATACTAAACATTCTAATTTTGGTAGTACATGCTGCATTTTGGCAACAAGAAATTCTTTAAAGTCAAAATATAAATAACAATATTCACTCCTACTGTATGTCGTAATGTCGGTTTATGTTCTTGACTAGCAAAATATATTCTTGTAATCCCGTGTGAAAGGTCCCTACAATGTTCTGAAGAGTTTAGGCTATGTAGTGTTGAGGCTATCGGGTTATTAAATATATTTCAATGTTTTGAAGAGTTTAGGAAATGTAGTATTGAAGCTGTCGTGTTTATAATTTACTTACTATACACGTTTAGTACGCAACTACCGGAAACGGCAGCCATGTGGTAGTATTAAGACAAAGAATCTCATTATTTTTTACTGAATTTCGCACATTCTATTAATTCTCAAGGGATTGGTTGCAAGACAAGAATATAATCTATGATATATAGTCATGTTAACAAATAACAGAAACGTCAGCTTCTTGAACTCACAGCCAGCTTGGGTTTGCTTGCTTTGCTCTTTCTACTGCCCTTGTGTGTTAATAGATACTATGTGTTGTGTAATGTATTTAATTCAACCCTACTAGGACTCTGGGCAGAATACCTACCAAGCCACTCAAACATGCTTTTTGGGCCTCTCTTATTACAATGATGGGACAAACAGAATTGGTGAGTCAGAATTAATATCCTATTTCTGTTTCTTATAGGTTATGGCACTTTCTTATGAAAATTCAAAGAAGTGTGTAAATGCCATTGCTCCTTTGAATGCCAAGTTAACTTTGAATGCCATAAATGCTAAGTTAACTTTGAATTCCATGAATGCCAACTTATCTTTGAATGCTATGAACACCAACTTGTCTTTGAATGCTTATATTTGGCTTCACTTTTCCGTCGCATGTACATTGTCCCCATTTTCTCCGCAGGCCGGCAGGCGGAGTGAACGCCTGAGTAGGCGTCTTGTTTTTTCACAATATGAATCCGGAACCACAGGTATTTTTTTTAGGCCTAATGACGTAATTCTAAGGTAGGAATATTTTTAGCGGCTACGCAGAGAGTTTTCAAAAGAACGAGACATTGTTACAATGACATAATTTCAAGGCCAGTATATTTTTTAGCGGCTATGCAGCAAGTTTTCAAAATGACAAGACATTGTTATAATTACGTAATTCTAAGGTAGGAATATTTTTAGCGGCTACGCAGTGAGTTTTCAAAAGAACGAGACATTGTCATGCACCAGTCAAAGTAAACCCCGACCCCCCCACCCCGGACAAACAGGGGACTTGGTGGGGATTTAGTGCCTTTTTGTCATGGAATTCTGTCCCAACCATGTCGGGAATTTGTTGGTTTTGTCATGGGCAGAATTTATGTGTGTTCACACTGCGCCATTACAGTTTGTTTACAAATTAAATTAGCACTCATGTAAACCCAACATATTTGAAATTGAGCCAAGAAATTTAACTGAAAAGCATTCGAGTTTACATGTTTGTGTTCACACGAAGCTATCAAGCTCTTCGTTTTCACCTCACTCCGTTTAGAAACCGTGCTCAAAAAGCTACATATAGTTCACATAGTTTTATCACAGTCTCAAACCTTCAGACAAACATATCCACATTCCCCTCCCCCCCCTTCGGACATCCGAAGACATTTTTCCTCTCCCCCCCTTCAGACATCCTAAGACATTTTTCCTCCCTCCCCCTTCGGACAGCAAAAATTTCCTGTGTGGGGGGGGGGGG